TCTATTTGTGCTATATAAGAAACAATTCCATTTGACAGAAACTCCATTAGGGAGGTTAAAGTCCAGTGCCTTCCCTTGATTAGTCAAAGTCCTCTGTTGCTGAATAGTGTGCAGGGCTTCCTTTAATCTTTAATACTTGATTAATCAATAGGCAGAAATCTTCCTGAGTGACTAATCTATACCTACCTTGGTAATTTGCCTTCCCACTCGCAGCACAGTTGACTTGGCAGGATTTTTACAACCTTGTCTTTCTTTCTCAGTTGACATCCGAAGAAAAGAACTCTGCTGTGTGCTCTATTGAATTGTCTTTCTTTTTGCTATTCCTCCGCAGTACATGAGTGAGTAACGTTCTTACTGTGTGCGGTGCCTGGCTGGTGGACTTCTTTGGCTTTGAGATGTTGCATCCTGATTGTTCAGTGTGTTACCAACGTATGACAGATCTTTGCCCTCTGTTGCCTTTTTAACTTGCAAGTTTCTCAGGAATCTTTTTATTCTTTCTCATAGCCTGCTCTAACTGAAAACCCGTTTGCCTCCCTTGTCTCTCGATTTATATTTTTTTCATAATTCTAGTCCTTCTTAAAATGCTTTCTGCATATACTTTGTCGCTTAACGGGTAAATCGCCAAGTATAAATGCAGCATGCCAACTTGTAGTCTTTGGCAGCGGTGGTGTTGCAGATGCAAAGTCTGTGCAAATTGACTAATTGTAAATCTCAAAAATCAGATTTCTGCATGTGTTGGAAAAGAAGGGATATGAAGAAAAAGGTCAAAATTTTCTTACTGGATTGTCCAAAGCTGTGCTTCTCAACCTACGCATTGCTGATCTTGCTTTCTTGTCCCATGATATAAATCCATAGTTAATTCTGCTGATGCTAAATGGCATTACTTCCTTCTTATGTTGGTGCAAATCAGAGGAAAGGTTCTTGCTTTCATTCCTGGAGGAAGTGATTTGGTTTTCCAGTCTCTGAAGCTACCAACATCTGCCATTTGGGGATGCCTCTGGAAGCTGTTAGCTGTAGGCTCTTGATTTGCTTTTTCTGCAATGTGTTTTGCTTACTCCGACTATGACAGGAAACAATCAGTAATTTCTTACTGTGAGGAACTGGGAACTTAGGAAGAAAGTGAAACATTCGTCTAAAGGCTGCAGTATGTGGTTGGGCTTTAGCTCTGGAACGGGTTGATAGGGTACTTTTTAATCCTCCCTGCATGCTTTTAAGCTTAGCCACCTTCTTAAGACTTGCTAATGAATCTTGCTTACTCAGCCAGCAGCCTTACTAGCTGATGCAAAACCATAGCAAACTTGCTGCCATCCTGTCAGGACTGAAAATGGGCAAAGTAGAAAACCCAACAGAGAATGAAATAGCAATGGTCAGATCAATCCTGAACCTGAATCAACCTTACTTTCCCTGTGACCTGGAAAGCATCTGGCAGATTTTTCGGTAGGCTGTCTGGGGAAGAGAATGCCTCCAAGAGGCAGCCTCATGTGGGAGCACAGTTATCGATTAAGGCACATGTTTCCCAGCTTGTGATTGTGTGCCCACATGCCTGGGGAGTCACAAGAAGCTGGTACTGTAGTGGCAAAGCATCTCTCTTGTTTTTTCTCCAGTAGAATATCTTTGCTAAGGGGGTGGCAGATGGGAGAGGGTGTTCTAGAGAAGTCCATACCCGAGGCTGTAGCCTTCATCTCTTTCTGCAAATAGCAGATACGTGCTGCGTGCCATTTGCTTTATTGGTGGAGTCTGTTGTGCAGTTGATGATCACTTCACATATGTGTGACTTGGAACAGTTGTGTTTGTACAGGTAAGAGAAACGAGACTAGTTTATCCTAGTTTTTCCTCTTGTTGCACTGCTGTATTTCTTACTCATTCAAATTACTTAGCATTGCTGGCTTCTCACCATCTCAACCATGACTTCACTTGCAGGTGAATCAGCTTTTCTCTTGGAAATTAAAATTAAACTTCTGCTAGAGAATTCCCTTGGTAGCAGGACCCAAAATGCAGTTCAGTATTATGAGAGAGACTGTTTTTTCTTTCTAGGTCTGCAGATAGTTAAACTGCAGCTGCCTAATGTTCATGCGCAGGGAAACAGTCTAGTGTGCAGAAGATACGCTCCTTGAGTTACTGCTTTGATTATTGGAGCTGTGGTGAAGCAGAGGCTTAAGAGCTGGGTTTATTTGCCACTGCAAAGGCATATAGTCTTGGACTTGAATGTCTGATGTAGATTCAGAAAAACTTCCTTTAGCACACGTGGGTTTTTAATAAGCATGTTGTGTTAAAAAGACCAAACCTAACTCTTGTAGAGAAGGTATTCCTGCTAACTAATGCAGAACCGTGGATTTCTCTGGGCCTTCACTAACTTTTCCTCTGCTCCTAGTTGAATGTGAATTTCCCACCACTTAAAACAACTGCTGTTCCTTTACTTTATCTCTTATTCCTACAGGTTAGTACAAGATGCAACACAAAACAGAAACCAGGGAAATGAACTGCTTGGCCTCGAAAAAGACTGAGGCATCTGACTTTTTGTTACTTTTGGTATCTCCTTTCCCATTCATCCTGACACCTTCTTGTTTTTGTTGAACTTCTCAGCCTCACTCAAAAGGGATGAAGTTCCTTTTAATCATGCCCTAAGAGATGCAGTGGCTACCTGTAACAGTGTTGGCAGATCAGCACCAACAATGAAGGAAACAAGAAAGGAGATCTCGTGAGACAAGTAACAAAATAAGACAAAGAACCACTGACAGTCTAAAGCTTTGCATAAAACCAGTTGAGCCCAGGGGACAGGAGGGAAAACTAACATGTAGGGAGAAGAACACCATGTTTATTCTCATAATTTCTGTGTGTTTAAAAAGTGTGGCTGAGCTCAATAGGCAACTTCCTAGTACCTGACCAAGAGGTAGTTCCACTGTGTTAAATGGAAAATCTGCAGTAATGGAAAAGGAGGAAACTGAAAGGGTAAGGTTGAAGGAGGGAGACTTCAAGGAGCAAGGCACTTGGAAATGGGATCATAAAAGGAATGATTACTGTATATATGGGTTTGAAGATACAGGTTGATGCAAGTGCCTTGAGAAGAGCAGACAGGCCTTCTGTAAGAGTCTGCTTTAAAAGGAGTATCTCAGGCCTGAATCTCTAAAATGGGAATACATTCACAGTATATCACTTCATAGCTTACAAACTTCATCTCAAAGTAGGAGCCAAACCCAGCCTGAAAGTGCCCAATTCTGAGACAATCCATAATTTCTCCCGCAGTTATGTCCTGTGCCTTGCTATCTGGATTAACTGGTTTAAAACCCTGTTTGAGTCAGCTGTACTCTGGGCGGATACCTGTTATCTTACCGCTTCCCTTCTGGGAAAAGGAATTGAGCATGTTTCCTGTCGTCTTGTCCCCAAGTCTCTCTCCTGTGTTGTGTTATGTTTTCCCAACACACTATAATCAGTTCCACCCTTCTTAGCCCCCTCAACACCATAGCTTCAACACCTCTTTTTGTTGCCAAGCCCCTGCTCCCAGCCTCTCCATTCATCCGAGGAAAAAGCCCCTCTTTGTGCTGCTGAGAAGCCACGGATGATACCTCTGCAGTTGGGGTCCATTTTCTCTGGCAAATCTGACCTTGCAAACTGAGTATTCCTCATAGAGGTGGGAAGGTTTCAAGTATGTTCAAGGCTGCTGTTCCCATCAGGTTTTTCCTTTCAGTTGACCTTCTTTCAGGCCTTTAATGGTATAACAGCTGCCTCTTGGGTCGCTTTTTAGGTTTCTTTCCCCTCCTGGTTGCTTTAGTGTGTTGGCTTGTGAAGTTTTTCATGGGGAGTAGAATTTGTCCTGCTTTGAATAAGTAGTTCCAAAGCTGCTAGGCTATTTTATTATTTATATAGGGCAATAAAAAAGATCGATATTATTACCATGTATGTAACAGTGCAACTTAAGCTTTTCTTTGGCTTCTCAGCGTGGTAAGTCTTTTATACAGCAGTATGACAGAGCCTGTGCTTTTGTTCAGTTATGAGCACATTTTCTTTGGATAACAAATAACAACACCAGCCTTTGAACTCAAAACATAAAATATAAATGTAAAAATTTTGTAAAGGTATAACTGCGGCAGGGTCACAGCTCATTCTAATGTTAGATTATAAACGTAGTCATTTCAAGTTGTTGATTTGTCCATGTGGAGTAAATTTTATCAGTCCTGTTCTACTGAAGGTGATTACTTCTAGCAAACCCTGAAAATGTTCTTTATCTTCTTGTTCTGTGAAGAAACCCTGGTGAAAGCTAAATAATTAAGCTCATGATTGAAAACCTGGTTAGTATGATTGTGAAATCGCTCATCCACCAGATTAATAACTGAGATTAACTTTTTGCCCAGGCTATCTAAATTTCTTTGTGTGAAGGATAATGGGAACCACAGGAGTTGTACTGCTGAGAATGACATATCTGATTTGAAACCTGATAGTTGAAATAATTAATTGGTAACTAGACAGCTGTTTAACCCAAGGGCAAGTTCTGATGTCGGTACTGTAGTGTCTCAGTGATTTCTGGTTTTGCTTAAGCTCTTAAGGGCTGTAAATATTCCATTCTTGAGCAAATTAATAGGTGTTGTATACCTAGCTCTAGCATCTTGGGCTTCTGATCATAATTTCCATTTCTTCTCATTATACAAAGACTAACAAAGACCTCCTCAACATAGGAAGGCGGGAGGGGAAAAACTGCAGGTTTTCTCTTCTTTTTTTTTTTTTGTTGTTGTTGTTTTTAAATTTTCAGTGGGTCACGTTAAGCTTTTGTGCTTTGGGTAGGAGTAAAAGAACTGCATGCTATTTTACAGTGGCTCCTTAGGGAGAGCAGCGCACAGTGGGTGAGGATGTCCTCAGTTGTCTTAGATGACCATGGCCAGCTGGTGAATAGCTGCTCTCTAATATCTCTAAGTGATAGTTATTTGCACACAAAATTGTGCAGATGCTCTTCTGAGGCTGACACACTGGACTATGAGGCACTGAATCGAGCACCTGATTAATGTTGTCTTTTCTTGTGGTTTGTTTTTTTCTTTTTTTCTCTGTTGCCTTCCTTCCTCCTTTTCCCGCTTAACCCAGAAAAACTGATTGAGGGACTCAAATCTCCTGAGACTGCGCTTCTGCTCCCTGATATCCTGCCTCTCGCTGACCCCTTCGGTAGCACGTCAGATGCTGTGAATGGTAAAAATAAACTTAGGGTGCCTCCTCCCCTCTGTCTTACATGGCATGTCTTGTCCCGCATGATAACTCTGCGTGTTTACCCCCACTGGGCTCTCAAAACAGCTGCTGATGTTGGTGAAACACAATGTGATAGGAAGTTATGGATTATGCTGAGACAGATCTGCCTTTTCCCCATGAGACTAGCATCTGAACAGCAAAGACTTGGTATTTGCATTTAAAATCTAGGCTTACCGATTTGGCACAATAACATGGCATGGTTGTGGCTTGTGTGTTCTTCCGGTCTTGGTAGAAGAAAGTTAACTGTTGACTGAAGGAGAAGATGCAAAAAAATCCCTCCATTTCTGCTAAAGAGTTTGTGTGTAACCATGGCCCAGGCACTGAGCCTGTCTGTCTCTCTGTCGACCCTCAGCAGGATGAGGAGGACAGCATTGCCTTTGACCTGGGGCATATGCTGAGAATAAACGTGCTAGGCTGCGATAAGCCCAGACGCAACAGGCTCCAGGCAGTATAAAGATTTTGGATTGTTGCAGAATCATATGTTGATCTACTTGCCAAATGTGCTAAAGACTAATAATTGCAGGCTGCCGTTAGTTGCAATCGGCTGCTTTTGTGATTTTGGGTCCCAGGCAGGGTCTCCTGGTTGCAACCTTGTAGCTTTGAATAGAAAGGTAGGAAATGAGTCACCTTAATAGCAAGACTTTTTCTCTCCCTTTTGCAATTTCTGGCAGTTGTCTGAATAATCTTAGATAATGATCCTGCAAATCTGAGACACACACTGCTATGCAAACAAAAATATTCAATAGTATCTCTTAGGTTGACCAGCTAGACCATTTCTGGTCCTAGCATTTGAGTGGATCCTTGTTCTTTAATTTAACTTCTTGGTCATTACCTTGATGTTGGTCCTTGAAGAAGAGACGCAGACAAGCATTATACCTGGCGGGTATGACCGTGACAGTTATCTTCCGTGTCTCTCCCTCTCCCCTTTATGGTATCTATAAAAACAAATCTTTCTATCCAGCCTTTGTAAACATCTCCTTCTGTATCCCCATAATGGACACCAACATTAGATGATACTGGGGACTGGTGTTTTCAATAAGATGTTGAATTCCAAAACTTGATCAACTCTTTGCTCCACTGGGCACTCAAAATGGGAAAAAAAAAGATCCCATGTCCTGGCTTTTTACAAGCTTGACTGGGAATATGCGAAGGACTCCACAGTAGGTACTGTAATAATCTGTTACTTCTGATGCAAGGGGACTCCTTAAAGGTCAGTGTTCGCCTTTTGCTGGAAAAGGATCTTGCAAAAGCTTGTAGTTATTTGCCCAGCCCCAGGCCTTCTGCTTGGCTGCAGGGCAGGCATTATTAACCTCCCATTCCACCCCCTGGATATTTCAAATTGGGCTCACACAAATTTAAATAAATAAATAAAACACAGAAAAACTCAAACCCAACAAACACCAATGTGTTACAGTCTTCTCTTGTGACTAAATTAACACCGATCTAACTTCAGCCTCTTCTTGTGGCCAGCATAGCTGGTGTATTAAAGGGTCACTAAAGGATTCAGACAACTGCCGCCTTGGTTCCTACTTATGCTGTGTCTTGCAAACTAACTTCTGCCTTCTTCTCTGCTCTGGTATTTTGTATGTTTGGAAAGGAAAACCTGACGTAGCTGTTGAGAGTCTCATACCGGGCCTCGAGGCTCCATTGCCCCAGCGCCTTGTGTCACAGACTGAGTCGGTTGCCTCCAACAGAACAGGTTGGTGAGGCAGGAGGGTGTTGGGGGGGGGGCAGGGATGCATCGTACCGGTGTGGGCCATGTAAATCAGAAAGCGCTGTCCTCTTGAACGTAATCATCTCTTCTCTCGATGCTTTTCCCACCAGTGTAAATTAGGCTTGCTTGTGTGTCTTGTAAGTGGATGCTGCATGGTTCCTTGAAGGTCAGTATTACATGTCTCTTTGTGAAGAACAATACAGTATTCCTTCAGCCCACCGTTACAGATCTGTAGGTGCCAGAGTATTGCTCTGATGAAGTGTCTTTGAAATCTGGAGCAGTCACTGATTTTTTTGTCTGTTCCATTGGGGTGTGGTAGTAAGCAATTCATGTCCCTTTCTTACTATGAAGGCCTTGATCTGGCCACTTTCGCAGCAGATGACTCGACATCTTTTCAGAGGTCTCTTGTGAAACAGCCAGTGCACTTAGTTTTGCCAGAGAGTCCCTGCAACTCACTTTCCCTCCCCACGCTCCCCTTCACTCCCCCTACTTTAACCTGTCACTTGTGTGGGATTTCGTTGTTATATACTTTGCTTTAGAGGGCAGTTAGCCCCAGAGAATGTTATATGTTGCAGTAAGAAATGTTTTCCATCACAAAAAATGGTAGCTTTTGTGCTGGCTTTGCATCAAAGCTCTGTTCGTACGCTAAGCGGACGGGAACGGGAATGTGAGAATATGAGCTTAACAGTGTTTGTGTCCTGTTTAATGCTGCCTTGCGGCCTTTGGATGTTAACCTGGATTCAGACTCTCTCACTGGGGAAGACTCTCTGCTTGACTGTTCTCTGCTTTCTAACCCTGCTGCTGACCTCTTGGATGAGTTTGCTCCCGTAGCTTTCGCAGCTCAACCTCACAAAGGTAAACTGTCCCTTTGTCTCTAACACCTAATCGGCCCTGGGACTCGGTCTTTAGCTACTGTGAAGTGAAGCTGATACTGGTTTACACAAGAGATGCTCTGACCTGTGTTCTAGTGGTGTGGGTTTGTTTTTTTTTTCCGCAAGCCATTGTTTTGTTTTCTTCCCAAGCTGGTGAAACTTGGAATGCACATTGAGGTACTAAGGGAAGAATATAGATAAAAGTATTCAGCTTGACTGTAAAGACAAGGTTTGTCAAGACAGTGGCATCTTCCATGAAACAGGGATACAGCAGAAGGGGTACAGTAGGCTTAAAGGGTAGGCTTTTGTATGCAACCCTTCAGGTTTGTAAGCGAATGCAATCTGGTTTTGCTTTTTGCACATGGGATTTAAGACTGCTTTTATGCTGCATGATTAATTCTGGAAGGGAGCCTGATATTCATCTAGACTGGTGTGTCAGGTTTTTGAAACAAAAGGAATTTTTTTTGGTTTATCAGAGTTAGCATCCATAGCATGTAACTGAGCTCTTTCAGATCTGAAGAATTTCTCCTTTTCAGAGGTTATCAGGAGTAGGTTCTTGAGTCAAACTGCAGTGTCACAGCAAATACAAATGAAAGTCTGAGTGCAATATCCAATTGAAAAATAGAAGAGTTTCACAGTAACACAAAAAAGCAGAGCTGCAGAAGAGAAGTAGACCATGTGTGGTAATTCCTAAGAGCTGCAGATCAGCCCTTGCAGTACATCAGTATTTGAGCTTGAGTGGAATTGTGGAAATACTGTGCCGTGATCAGAGTTCTGTTCTCTTTCCACTGACAAGCAAGAGTAGAGGACCCTGGGAAGCTGGGTCCTAACTCAGATGGCTTTTTTCGCCAAGCCGGAGAGCATCCAGCTGAAATCTGGGCCCTCTCCATGCAGTGTGACTGGAGCAGTGGCACTGGAATAGTTTGAAGAGCTATCAGCTGGAGTGCGACTTGCGCGGTGAGCTTTTCCTGCTCTGTTCTGGCACGTCCCTATTACAGACTAAAGCAGTTGTGAACAGTGCATGTGACCCTTGGGGACAATGCCAAATGTTAGCGGATGACTCTCCCGTAAGCCAAGCTTGTAGTGAATATTGGGTAATGCACATCCACCTGGGTGGGAGGGAAGACCAGGACTCCTGTGCTAATTATTGCCTGGAAAAGAAAGGCCCAGAGCACAAATGCTAACTACTGGGTGCCCCTTGATGATGGGTTTTGCTTAGCTCATTTGGTGAGTATCCCTATAGCAACAGAAAATGATCTGTCCTCAGAGGAATCGCTGTAAAAACAGTCTGTAATCAATTTTTACACTTGATGGCACTTCAAAATGAGTTTGTGTTTTTCACAGAGCTTTTGGGTTTAAACAAGCAGTTGTTCTAATTGCTCATTGCTATAATACACTTCCATGCCACTTTATTTTGAGTAAATGGCTTGAAATGTATGTCGAGCAGTTATTACTCCATGTCCAGAACATAGCAAAGCCAAAACATTGTTGGTGTGACTTAATGAGAAAATGAATTAATAGATTTCTGCATGACTTCTCCCAGGCTGCCCTGCTGTTCCTTCTGGGATGAGAAAGGCTCACATTTGATGAGGAAAGTGAGACTTCTATTAGCAGGAGGGTGGGGGGGGCCAAAATATTAAAATCTTCCAAAACTCATTTGTGGCTTCTTTCCAAACCCTGCTTTTATAGCTCTGGGTGTAGTCATTAACTGTACATCTGTCTTAATCTTTTTGTGTTTGCTTTGTTTATCCAGTCCTGGCTTTGGTGATGTAAAGCACCTGTGGGGCAGATGCTGCTGTCCATGGGTATAATCAAGCCCGTGGAACTGCAACGCTGCAAGTTATCAGTGGGACTGGGAGGACTCAAAAAAGCAGCCATGGTCTGGGCATGGATTGATGCTCCAGTCATGCCATATCATCCTCTCCTTTGTGCTTTACTAGGCTGTTTTCTGGCCTCCAAATTTTTTGCTTTGCCTTCAGGATTCCTTAATTTGCGTTTGCTGAATACAGCACTGAGCTGTGTGTATGTGAGAGGGGAGTATTCTTCTACTTACGGTGCTACATAGTCACTAAGGCGAGCTCAAGCACTTTTGAAGTTTTGCCCAAATAGAGACACTTGCCAGCCTTTCCCTCTCCTTAGGAAACATAGTCCATAATTGAACAGTGCTCCTTCAGTAGCTGCTTGTACAGCAAACTCCAGAGCTATGAGCAATCGTATGTATAAATGAAGTGAAATGGAAATAGGATGCTTGCAAAGGCTCCCAGGTAGGTTGAGAAGAGCCACAAATAAATAACTCCAGAGACAGAGTGATGACAAGATGAGACTGTCCGTTAAGATGAAACGTCTTTGTGTTTTTTGACACTTTACAGGCTAGTCTCCTATAAAATTTGTGGGTTTTTTCTGGGTCTAATCTTCCGGAGGACAGTGTATTTCCACAAGTGGTTTCTTGCATCATCTCACCCAAAACCTGTTAGCATATTTGTCAGCGTTAGGTAAAAAGCTTTTATTCTTGATAGGAGTCAAACAGGAATGTTCCTGTTCATTGGAAACCATCGACTTGTACATGTCCTTGCTTAGGCTTTCAGAAATATTTCAGGTAGTAATTGAGAACCAGACTTTGGAAGGTATTTTAGGTATCTAAAGTAACAAGTAGTGATGCACAGCGAGAGTGTGAAAGTCCCTAAAGGTATGTAATTGCCTGATAAGGCAGATAAATGTCTCATCTGCTGTGGAGATTGTTGAAAGTGCCTCCCACCAAGTGTCTAACTGCAGTTGACGTGGTTTGAAATCAATGGAATTATGTGCCAGAACTGCTCTAGGGGCCTTTAAAAAAAAAAAAAAAAATCTCTCTCAGTATCTAGTTACATCTTCAGACATTTAAACTGCTTGGAAATCTGACTTCATATTGCGCTTCTTGTTTTATCACTGTAGGTGAAAGCTCAGGGGTTTTGTCTCACGTAGATGACTGGAATTTCTTCTGTGTTGGTTTTTTTTTTTCCCCCAGCCTTTTCTTCTCCCTGTGCATGAGAGCTGGTAACTGGAGAGCCAGATTGCTCTCTCAAACCATACTAATATCTGACAGCCACTGGATGATGACAAAGAATACCTTCAATCCTTGGGAGCTTAAGCCCCAGGCTTTTACCACAGCTTTGAACTATGCCAATTGTTAAGCCTTCAGATTGGCCAAATTTTATTTTGGTTCTCGTGACTTGGCTTGCGTTTTGTTTTGTTTTTTCACCTCCACTTTTGTATTTAATTGTGTCTCTCACTTCTTACCTTTTTTACCAAAGACTTACCAATTTTATTTCACCTCTTAAACGAAACTCCTGCTTCTAAACCCTGTCTCTGAAAGCATAAAGATGTTCTAACACTTCTTAGGAATTCTAACCAGCCTTCTCTGCTGTCTTTGCTTCTTTACCTCTGTTTCTCCTTTATGCTGCAGAAGATACTAACCTGATATCAGGCTTTGATGCTCCTGAGGGCTCTGAAAAAGTGACAGAAGATGAGTTTGACCCAATTCCAGTGTTGATATCCAAAAATTCACAAGGTAAGCCAGGATTCGGGGGTGAAAAAGGGAAGGAAAAAAGGAAAAGTTCTGGGGCAGTACAGCACATGTGAAGTAATTAAAATCGTAAACTGTAAGATACTGTCATTGTAGTATTCAGTGAGCTTAGTCTTTCTCTGATTTATATTGGCCTTGAAATTTCTCTAGATTCCTTTTGTGAGAAGATTGCATGTCCAAAAAGATAATAGACGTGCAAGCATCTTTAGGTCCCATGAAGTAATTTCTACCAGTCTGCCAGGTAGGGCACACAAATACTTCTGTGGCTAAAGTGCAATGGAGAACTGCGTTCTCTGACATTCTTGTTTACTGTTCAAGCCAACGGAACAGGAGGTTCTTTGACTTTTAGGTGAACTTGGCATGAGGCATAAGAAAGGGAGATGATGATAATCCTTTATAACTCTGAATCTGAAAGTGAGTTTTTTCACTTCTGACTGATGTCTTTCAAAGGCGCTTGTGGGAACTGAGTGTGACAAGTTTGGTACACGGTACCCACCTCCTTTGAAGAGCTTTGAGCAGTCAGAGTCCTTAGGACACAGACTGGAAAGTTTCTCCTTTTACAGCATTCCTGTCATCCAGATCACATTAACGTGGATCTTCGCAAACAGTTTCAGTCTTATGTAGGGTTAAGTCTAAGAAGCAGCACTGTTTCCTTAAAAGAAATAATAGTGCTGCATTTTGTAGCTCCTGTAGGGACAGAAGTAGGCAGCGTTTTGCAGTCTGGTCAGTCAAATAGGTCTTCTCTCTGCAGTCACGCCATTGAAAGGTTTTGATTACAGCTTTCAATATGCTAGCATAGGTTTAAAAACATACTCCACGGCTCCCTTTTTTTTGGTTTGGTTTTGTTGGGTTTGGGTTTTTTTTTTTTAGTTTGATGTCAACTTTTTTAAGGAAGTCAA